TACTAATTAAATAAAATATACAAAATATTCCTAACATCCCTCTCGACATGGATTACTTACATGCAAAAATGAATATGATAGAAAAATTTAAAATATTTAAATTCGCAATAATAACAACAAATTTATATTATTCATTCATTCAAGTCATGACGGTGATTTTTTTTTATTTTTTTAAATTTTATTTTATTTTATTGGCCTCGCTTACTTGCCACCTATAACATATTTCAATTTCAATACAATATTTCAATTTCAATACAATATTTGAATTTCAATACAATCTTCATGTTCATACTTCTTATATAAACTCTATTCTTCTATCTATTTTATATTCTATTCTATTCAACAATAGTTCATATTATGAATAACATAATGTAAAAACTAAGAAATTATTTGGACTAATTAAATTCAATTATTTCATTTATACACACCATCCCCTGTCCTTGACCACGTCATTGAGATCCATATAAATGACCTCGACCATATTATTGAGGGCAGCACAAAATCTCCAGTGTCTGACTCAAAACGCAAAAAATTGTTATAAAATTCATATAAAAAACGTAAAATTTACAAAAAGTCTATTTTCTGCTCTTCTGATTTTTTCATTGCGCTAAACTAGACTCTAATTGGGAAGGAATGAAGGATCATAGATAAATAAGCATATAAATAAATATCTTTGAATATTTGATAAAAATAAAATGGCAAAAACTTTGTTTAAAAATCCACGGACATATCTTTGAATATTTACTAGCGAAGGATGCTGGTTCGAATCCGAACTGTGCTTGGCAAGTTAAAGGGCAAGACAGGTATGTGCATAGATAAGTAAACATAAATATAAAAAACATAAAAAGGGTATGTGATGTTATTGTTAACACATGTACCAAATTCAATCAATTTTTTACCGGCGATGGGGTGGACGAGATCTTTGAATGACTTCGGTTGCAATGGCAATGGTTCTTGTTTTGGGTTTCAAGTTCGAATCAAGTATTTTATTTTCTTTTTTCAATAAGTTTTAAATAAATATTAAAACTTTTTCCAGTAGAAGTGATATATAAATTTATATACCGATTGTTGGATTGATTATACTTTTTTATTCGGTAACTAGGTGTGATAAATTGATGAAAAATTAAGGATAGTGTTGATCAAAAAAGATCAATTACTTAATAATTGGAACTATAAAATAAAAGTCAATACATGTAAAATTGTTGTGCCAATAGCGTGAAAAGGATTTTGAAGAACTTATATTGAGGAAACAGAAATAAAAGATTACACTAGTTTAATTAGTTTATCTACCATTTTACAAATTCTCCAATTCACCTGACCACCGGTTTACCTATCTACCAAGTTCTTGTAAAAAAATTCATAAACTATAGAAAAGCAACAGTAACAAAGTTAATGTAATTATAACAAAATAATGAGAAAAAAACAACAAAAGTAATTTACATAAATTTGGTCTTACATCAGTAACTTGCGCAAGGCACATAATTTTGCACTATCATATATACACTAACTTGTTTTTTTTTGTAAAGATTAACTTCTAAAGCTTTGGCTTTTATTTGATGTATTGCCCTTGAAGAACTTACTCATATATATATATATATATATATATATTATAATATTGTATGTCTGTCATTTGAATATAACGGCCAAGAGTGTCTATCCTGACGTGTATGTGCTCTATGGTGTGTCATATGTAGAGTGTCTGATCCCTTACGGAACAGAAGTATGTATCTGTGTGCGAGTCGGTGTCTGGCGGTAACTTGAGTGTTGAACAGTTCGGCGTTGTGTTAATTTGGTGAATTATTAAATGTATTGTATGAAGTAAAAGGTGTTTTATTAATTAATTAATGCTAGAATAAAGCTAGCTTAAAGCTCAGAAGTGGGATAGGATCAAAACGTGGAGAATTTTATTAGAGAACATTATTGGTGTGGATTATTGAAATAGGCGATTTCAATAATCTTTTTCTTTGGAGTGCCCGTGTTATTAATCAGGCGGATTATAATTACGGGGTGCGATAGAAAGCAAGGTGTGCTTCGCTATCGTACAAGTGCGGGTGTTATTTTGTAAGTTTTGTAAGTTTTGTGTGTTTGTGTTGTTGTGCTAAAGTGAGGTTAGCACGTGGGTAACCAAAATAAGAACAGAGTGGAGAGAAAATATCAAAAGCAGTGCGTGATATCGACGTCGGCGAGTCGCGGAGCTGCGATATTTGTAATTAAAAATTCGAGATTGTGAAAATAAAATAAGATTTGGGGAGATGGCTACTGGTGGTGATGCTGAGAGCTTGGTGCCCGAAGCATTAAGAATGCTGTCGTTGACGGACTTGATTAACCTTATTAGGGCGACAACCAGTAATAAAAACGATAGCATCTCGAGCAGCGAGTGGTTGGCGACGATACCGATATTCGACGGGTCGTCTGAGCAATGCATCGAGGCGTGGTTTGAACGGGTTGAGACCGTCCGGGATGCATACGAGGTGCCTAAGAAAAAGATGGCGGTGCTGATAACATCGAAGCTGTCGGGGCGGGCGAGGCGATTATATGACAGCAAGGCAGAGTATGCGACATATTCATACGACGAGCTGAAGAGGGTGCTAACAGCGTTTTTCAAAAATAGAGAAGACAGGATGACTAGAATGAAGCGCTTTGAGTCTCGGAGGTGGCGAAAACAGGAACCGTTTAGCGCATACTTTCAGGAGAAGATGGCGCTAGGGAATAGGTTGGGTTTTATGGAGTCCGATCTACTGGCTTATATGATAGACGGCTTCGACAACCCGCCACTCCAGGCTCAAGCCAAGATGAGCCAATTTAAGGATTTAGCAACTCTGCTAGGTGTAATGAATGAGTTGACAGCGGAGGAACGCGGATGCAATATGATGCCGCCTACGAGGGTACAGCCAACAGTGTTTCCTAGAGTGGAAACACAAGGCACATATCCTACGGTGAGGTGTTTTAATTGTGGCGGAGTGGGACATATGGCGTCCAGGTGCATCAAACCGAAGAACGATGGAGTGGCGTGCTACGACTGTGGCTCAAAGGAGCATCAGCAGAGATTCTGCAAAAATGTCCGGAATACGGCGCAGGTGGCGCCTGACAGCACTACATTTCGAGTTAACGAAATATTGGCGATTCATGGTGAGATTACCACAGACGGAGCAAATATAAATATATCAGATGAAAATGACTACGAAGTGGTAGCGACAGTAGAAGACCTGGAGAGTGAAAAACCGGAGGAACCAGAGACTGCATTCGAAATGCATGACTATGGAGTGATAGCGACAGCAGGAGATCTGGTAGAAAAGGAATATTTGGAGAGTGAAAAGCCGGAAGAAACAGAGACTGCATTCGAAATGCATGGCTATGGAGCGATAGCGACAGCAGAAGATTTGGAGACTGAAAAACAGGAAGAGCCAGAGACTGCATTTGAAATGCATGGCTATGGAGTGGTCGCGACAGTAGGAGATCTGGTCAGAGAGGAATATTTGGAGACTGAAAAACGGGTGGTGCGCGATCCTTACCCCAGTCCAAGAATAGATGATTGCTTGGACTCACCGAAGTCTAAGAGGTATTTTACGAAGCTAGATCTGGAGAACGCTTTCTTTCATGTGGTGGTGGCTGAGACTAGTAGAAAATACACTAGCTTGGGGTGTGCACAGGGAGAATATGAATACAACCGTATGCCATTTGGGTATTGTAATAGCCCGAATGTATCTATGAGATATGTAAGTGACATTTTTCGTTGTTTTGTGATGAACTGTGAAGTTATAGTGTACATGAACGATTTACTAATGGCCACAGAAACAATTGAGGAGAATATTGAAGTGTTGCGTAGGGTGTTAGAGATGATTCGTAGAAATAAGCTAGAACTAAAATTAAATAAGTGTATAAAAATAATAGGCGTATAAGGACAATAAGTGATGGCGACAAAGTTGGTAGAGACAATAAGTGAATGAAATATGATTTATGTTGTAATGGTTTATGATTTATGTTGTAATGGTTTTATGATTTGTGTTGTAATATTAGATTTAGATTACTGTTGTATTAGATCTCATCAGTCGGGGACGCCTGTGAGGTCAGGATTGGCCGAACTATAATATTGTATGTCTGTCATTTGAATATAACGGCCAAGAGTGTCTATCCTGACGTGTATGTGCTCTATGGTGTGTCATATGTAGAGTGTCTGATCCCTTACGGAACAGAAGTATGTATCTGTGTGCGAGTCGGTGTCTGGCGGTAACTTGAGTGTTGAACAGTTCGGCGTTGTGTTAATTTGGTGAATTATTAAATGTATTGTATGAAGTAAAAGGTGTTTTATTAATTAATTAATGCTAGAACAAAGCTAGCTTAAAATATATATATATATATATTTATATATATATATATATATATATATATTTATATATGTCTGTGTGCATGTATGTGTGTGATTGGAAAATCAACTATTCAGCTCTTAAATTAAAGTATGTAATTAATGGCAGGCAATTTTGGAGTTTTCCATTATCTCTGAAAGAAGTACTAATTGTAAGAATCATGTTGTTTCTGACATGTGTAGAAATATTCTACAGAAATTATATTTCATTCATTATCTTTAATTGTTAATTTATTTCAATTTAATATTGAAAACCCCTATTATTTTCAAATCATTTATTACTATTTTATAGTGCAATATTTGCATTATTCTAATATATTTTCTGTATTTGTTACCCATTCAATTTTATGAAAATTCTGTTAAACTTATAATTACTGCTATGCAATTATAATTATTTTATTCAATTAAAACATCGAGAAATTTAAAAATTTTCAATTTAGATTTTCGGCCCATTACGATAACTTACCCTACGGGAAGTTAAAAAATCACAATCACAAAATCAAAATCACAAAAGTGCAAATTAGTATTTATCTTTAAATTTGTATTGCCCCTATACATGAATAATAACATTTGTATGCCATGTGAAATAATATATTTAATCTAGCAAAGTTTCTCATTGGGAATAACATTTTTTGTTTAATACAGATACATTGAAATAAGCAGATTTACTTTCTTTATTCGTAAGTTTCGTTCTTCCATATATTGATTTCTTCTAAAAAAATTCATATAAATTTTCGATATATCTTTAAAAAATATATATTCCCAAATGCTAATTGTCGTTTATTTTTAATTATTATCAGTTATAAAGAGTTTCCTACGTGGATGATGCCTCGGTCTTGGACTTCCGTTCAGCATGGCCACAAAATGTTTTCGTTTGCTCGGACCAACTTCTGTATTGGGATTAAGTTTATCGGTAATCTTCGTAAAATTCGACATTTCAGAGCCTTCAGAAGTTCGGCGAGGCTGTGGAAAATAATTCAAATATAGAAAATAGAACAAAAAAAAATATATTTGTAACCGTGTTTACAACGATCTTAACTTTATCTCACATTGAATTCTAAAAACGTAAGCCTGATATTTTATATTAAATTAGGATCATTATTACCAATAACACAAGAATTTAAATCATTTCATTTTTATGTTATGACAAACTATTACAATTTGTTACTAGAATTTGCTATGATTTGCTCAATATGCTATCGATTTATTAAGGTCTCACGTTTATTAAGTAGGTGCATATATTGCTAGCCATTGTTTCCGTCGAAGACTAAATGTACTTTACCAAATATATGCCAAACAAACCATACCAATTTGGAATAAAGTTCTGATTGGCATAGGACCTCAATTGTATGTATTTTTATTCCATATTATGCTTCCCTAATTGAAAAAGAATGAAAGGAAAAATGGTTAAATTCTGCTTGGCAAGCTTCCTGATCTAAAGCTGATAGATACTTTCATAGATAGTTTTTTAACTATATACCACAGATAGTTTTGTAACGAAGGTATACAAAAATTGTCGGTAGTGTTAATAAGTTTCAACAATTTTTAACTTGACATTACCCACAACTATTTTAAAAGGTTATTAATTTACATTTAATAAGATCATAGTTCGTTACGTAAAAAATAAAAATATATTATTTTTATCTTACTGAATATACCGGTCTGATAGCGTCAGGAACAATTTCAACTCGACTTCTCATATTATAAATATTGTTTTTAGCATTATTATATTGTTCCCATAGCTTATGTTGAAGCTGGCTTTCGCTTGCGGCGGAGGTAAAGTCTTCTAAACGTTCCAGTTGCTTTAAACGACGGGCCAAACGTTCTCTTAAGATAGTTATTTTTTCGTTGTTAGATACATGACGTTTCAATTTCTTAACGATCTTGTTGTTATTTGTTTCAATGTCCATATTTTTTTATTTGATATAAAAAATATATTAATCAGTTGTCATTTTTTATTTGTTAGATACTTCAATAATTTTAAAATGAAACAAAACTTTGTAAACCGAGATATACTTCAAGCCTACTAAAACTTTCTAGTGTACTGTGTGAATTATGCATTTTTTAACTTCTTGAATGAAAAGTTCATGTTTTAGCTCACTTTACTGCTTACTATTCTATAAACTCACATATAATTTTCATATTGTTAACTGTGATATAATCTTGTCAGTTATGTCCTCTTGATCTATGAGTTGATATATCATATTATTAACATGATTATTGCAGCGAACTAGACATTTATCAATGTCGTCAGGACATTTCTCGCCATGCTCTCCTAAAATTTTCCTTAAGATCAACATTTCGCTTTCTAAAGATTTAGCAGCCGCTAATTTTTTATCTGAATCCTATAATTGAAAATGAAGATACAAAATCAAACAGTTAATGAATTATTTATATATGAAGTCACATTTCTTACCAACTTTTCGTTTTGTATTAATCTTGTTCGCTCTGAAATAATAGCAAACCCGCAAGGCAGATTCATGTACATAGCTTGAATAAGTAGCAAAAGATGATCATCACTTCTAAAAATTATTTACAATTTATATTAAAATAAATTTTGCAAAATCATTAATTAAATGTATCAACAATCATTAATTAAAAGTAACAACAACATAATTGTATTGAGTTATTGAACGTTTATTTGAAATTTAGTTTAGTTGAAATAATTAACTTCCCGTAGGGTTGTTATAGTAATTGGTCGAAAATCGAAAATGAAAATTTTTGCATATATTCACGTTTTGAAGATTTCTGAACATTTTGGAATACCTCAAAAAAATGGATGTTTTCGGGCGCACGAATCAACCGATTTGAATGGTTCAAAAAACATTAGATTCCTATTGCTAGGGAGATGTGCTGATTAGTTTTTGGCAAAAGCAGGTCCAGCCGTTGTGGAACTATCGAGCTAAATGCCAAAAAATGGCAGTTTTTTATTATATATAATTTTAACTTTGTAATTTTAACCAGCAATTTGTCTTAAGGCACGATGCCATACACAACTAGTTTAGCATGCAATCAATCACACTGCCTTAAAACAAGCAGGCTATTTACAATTTAAAGGATGAGTTTCGATTGGACATGCTATTAAAATTTAAAAATGCACTGAAATTATTGGAATATTTACTAAATATACACCTAATTTTAATTTCTAAAGCCTGCCGATACTTAGATCACTTGAAATAAGTAAGAAATAAGAAACAAGTATTTTACATATTTTATTCCGTTAAAATTAAAGTTTCGATTTTTGCTTCACTTCTATTTTATCAAAATGTATATAGTTATCTAATTTATCATGTACATTAATTTGCAAATTAACATTATTGACTCGAAGTCTTTCACTCGAATCTATAAAATGTAGGTGAATCTAGTTATTACAAATAAAATAATATAGTAGTTAGTTTGAACAAACCTCGCTGCCACCGTACATTTAGCTTCACCATTTTCTGAAAATCCTAATTTCAGCAAAATTCCATTTTGGAGCATTGAAGGATATAAGTGTATAACCCACCCTTCTGATTGATTCTTGATAGATTGAAATTTCATTACAGTTTCTAAGGCTGATAGCATAGAACAAATAATTTCTTTATTAGAAGGAATTATGCTTAGCTCTACAATACGAGCGCTCGCAGCCAGTACGCTAAAGATTTCTTGACTAGCTAAAAATAAAATTAATTATATTTTGGAATGAAAATAAAAATTGATTCAACTATTTTTTCAATTTCTTACATATTTTTGGATCCATAAATTTTGGCACAAGATCGATGCCTAATATCTGTCTGGCATTTAATGTAACATCAACAGTAGGTGTTTGCAAATTATCTCCGCTGAGAGTATAATGTAAAACAGTATGGAGTATTACTTCATGATTATGAAGATTTAATCGAGGTGGCGACAGGACAGCGATGAAAATATTTTCACCTGGTTTTATTGAGCTTGTTCTGGACCACTGCTCACCGTTGATGTGATAAGGACCCAAAAAGACATCGAATCTAGAAGAAATTAATATCATAAATCTTCATACCATTTACTTTTTTAATTTCATAATATTTGAATTTTTTTAAATATTCCAAAGTAGTTTTTTATTATTAATTAATAATTATCAAAATATATTCACATCTCACCCTTCATCCTGAGTCGATTGTGTCATACAACGTACATGTTTTGAATATATCGCAGTTGTATATCTTACAATGTCCAAATTTGATGAAGTAATCATGAAATCAAAATCATCAATAGAATCACTGTAACGAATAACATTTTTATTCATAAAACTTATTTTAGTAAAATGGCACACGTAACTATATTGAATATAATTCAAACAGGCTTTTAGGGAAAGTGTTGGAATATAAAATTATATTAAGTATGGTCCTGGTGAGGATATCTACCTATGAGTAAAAAAAAGGGATATTCTAGCTTGGTATAAAGAGAGGATTTTTGATACAATCTTCTTATTTCGACTGCCTGCCCTAAGGAATAAACTAATTTGTATTACTGTATAAATATATTTTTTTCTTTTTAATTACAATATTTATTACAACTGTTAAATAATTTAACATCTAGTAATAATAATGAACAATAATATAACTTTAGATAAAAAAGAGTACAAAGGATAGAATTTACATTAAAATGATATCAGTAGTATGATAAATCAATATAAAATAAAAGCAAATAATAATAATAATGAAATTCATAAATTAAATAAATAAAATTTCTGAATAATATAATAATACTAGAAAAACAATAAAGTGGAATAAAAACAATGAGTGAAAGATAATAATAAATATAACAAAATAACAATATTAGAAATAATAAGATAATAAATAGTTTAGAAATGGCTAGTATAAATAAAATATTGTTATGTAAATATTATCAGAGAAATAAATTTAATTTTACTGACAACAGAAAGTTTACATTTGATAATTTTTTATTCATTATACAAGACCAAAGTTGTATGGCTATCATGTATTAAAATAAAAAGTTTATAAAATTACTAGTAAAATGTACAATTAAAATGCCCAAAATTAAATTAGTATTTACGAACTCTCTAAGCATAGGTATATGTAGATCAAGTGTAAGTCAGTGAAGATCAAGTATTTCTTTTATTTCGTTGAATAAAAATGAAAGTTTCCTATTTGATCTGATCACATTTTTACCAATATTTTACATACTAATATAATCTATTGCGAAGTTAAATATTAATTTTTATTAATTCACAAATTAATAAATATTAATTTATAGTACTTATGTAATATTAATATATTTAATACAATTTTAGTATTGTATAGAATATACAATACTAAAATTGTATATACTATATACAATAGTTGGAAAAAATACTACCACCGAAGTGGTTTTCAGTGGAGAATAAATAAAGTAGAGAAGGATAAAAAAATTAACTAACGAATGCAAAACAATTCCAATTAATATATGAAGGCAACATCTAATTTTTCAACATTACTACATGCAATTATAATAAACAGGGTTAACTTTCAAGCAGCGATTCTTAGGTGAAGTGTATTGTTAGCAAAGAGGCTATAAAACGAGGTCAGAATATTACATTCGAACCAAATTAGATATCGTTTCTTCAGTCATTAAGTCTCCTTACGACCTAATTTAATATGAAAATGGTATTAGTTCTGCAGTCTACGCCAAATTGATGTTAAATATTTGAAGACAATTTAAATTATATAAATCTTGATTGCGGTGACAACGTTAATATTATAGTTACGGAATACAAATTAGAATTAACATTGATAACCATTACAATCTACAGCGACAAAAACCAGATATTAAGGATTTAAAAATATATTGATTTTAGTTTAAAAAGCAATTTGTTTTGCAAATGCATTTTTTAATTAAATGTATTTACAATCTGTTAGATAAAACAATGAGACCAATATAAAAAGGAATAATATTATAAATTGTTTTTTAGTATATACTCCAAGCGAAGAATCTATTTTAGGAGTGTAATATAAAACGTTTATTCACTTGATATACCAATATTTAATATAATATATTAGTAAACTATATATGTATGCGATTCTGTTTTCCAAGATTGCATCAAATGATTTATTTCGTTTTCATTGTCTATCATAAAATTTAGTTCTAAGATCGTAAAATAAAGTACACAAGCAGATCATTATTCCAAGTTAACTTCAATGTTACATACATCGCAGAACAATAAATGCACAAATTTTCTGAGCAATAGCACTATGTTGAACTTGCTCCAGAAACCATAAATGAAAAACCACTTGAAAACAACTTTTACAAATTTAAAAATACTTTTAAAGCACTGATTTTTTTAAATTTTTCAGTAACAGAATTATTTAGAGGTAAGTTATCATATTTATAATATTGTTATCATTAAATTTAAAAAACGCGATCGGCATCAATATGTATTTATTCTTCATTGAATAACACGCGCCAGAGTGAATAATTGTTTTTTACCATAAATGTAAAAAAATAAAATATTTATATATTTAAATATATTATATAAATGTAAAATTATTTTAACACTTCATTGTTTCACATATGTATAAGATGCCATTTTTTTTAATAAAGATAAAAATAATATTTATTTTAGAAATAAATTTATTATTGAACAGCGATCTAAGTTGTAAGAGATCTTGTGATTAAATTTCTAACTAACAACTTCAAAAAATAAAGAAGCTTAAAAAATCGCTTTTTTGAGAAATTTTTAGGAAAGGAAATAAATATGTAATTGAGACAAATCTTTCAGGTTTTATTGTTAAATATATCTACATTCTTCTTGATTTTTTTAATTAAAATATATGTCATAATATGCCGGGTACAAGCATTTTGCCGATGCGCCACGAGCGTGCAGGGCCATTTGGTAAAAAAGATACAGGTCACAATTTCCACCCGGAAAAAATGAGAAATTCTGTATGTATGTATGTATACATGCTTGACAATTGCTCACTATTTTTTCTGTAATTACGCAAATAATTTGTATTTCTGAATTTTAGGGATATATTCTTGGATAGTTTTGGAAGAAATTTTTTGCAAAAAATCGATTTTTGTAAGCCTCTAAAACAGGCCCCCTTCAAATACTATTAAAGGATACAATAAAAAAAACTGTTTCTTCTTTATAATTGATGATTTATAATTGATTGATTTATTATAATAAATCAATAATTTATTTTAATTCGCTTTTAAGCCTTGAATATTTTTTTCAACAATTGTGTTTGTTGTCTGTGAAATATAAAATAAGTATGTCAAATTGATTAATGTAAGAAGCTTTTTTAACACGTCTTTGGAATTTTGTATTAGACAATTTTCTCAATTATAACGCATACTCGTCAGTGGCGGATCCAGCTTTGATGCCAGGGGGAGGGAGGATCACATAATTAAATTATGTATAGAACATATATTTGCAATACGATTAGAAAATCGTTTTTCTATAATAAATTACATATTGAAGTTATAAAATGTGTTTGGTAACAAAATATGTAAATAAAATTTTTATAAAGTAATTTTATTGCTGATTTTTCTTTTCATATTTCGGTAGATTACACCTTTAAAAATAACATATTAAAATTTCAAATCGATATCTCAAATGGTTTTTGAGTTACAGCCATTTAAAAAGTATACATATAGTATATAGTACACGATCATTTTATCTTTATTTAAACGCGTTTTTCTCAAAACTGTGTTTTTCAAACTTTCCTCCATTGTATCTCAGAAACGGCTAGACCGAATTGAAATTTACAGGGCACATTCAATACATTTAAACGCATGGAATGAACTATTATCAATCGTTTTTCAAATTTCAAAACTTCGATTTTTTTATAGCAAAAAACAAAAAAAAAACGCCTAATTTGCAACTTTTATGTCAATGTCTATCAAAAATCCATTTTTTTATATTCATTTGATTATAGGTCATTATGTGCTCTTAAGCCTACAAATTAAAACGCCGTTTATTTTTTTTTTCAGATAAGCCGATCAGCCGGAATCGTGGAGGAAGTGGGAGCTCTTTTTTTCGAGGCGGGGGTGTTCAGAGCGCTGTAACTCTAGTTTGACTGAATATTTTTAGCTGAAATTTTATATTTATACTGTACAAAATGTGTTAATAATGATAAAAAACTTGAAGCTCTAAATATTTACTGGTCGTAGAAAAAAAATCCTAAAATATCCCTAAAAAACAGGCCGTCACATAG